ACAGTTAAGATTTTGAGCCAATCTGAGAATTTTCCGATTCGAGTATTTTCAAATTCAACGATCATAAACGCAGCTTTTGGTTCGAACTCGTTCCGGCTGCTATGCCAGATCCTTCACAGGTAAATTCTCCTCCATATCGGTTTAACCATCTCCTTGATTCTGTCGATATAGATTCTATCATTTTCTGAATTGACGCGCTTCAATACGTACGAATGGATTTTAAATCGACGAGGAAAAATGACATTTTTTGCCGCTTTTGCATCTCATTTTTTGACGCATTTCTGCATTGGGACTACCAATTTTTTTGGACTGGTTGGAATATCGAGAGCGTTACATCATAAAAATGTCGTTAAAAGTTTTTTATTGCGTCATTATTTTCTTTAATCGAAAAATTCGAGATGGAAAATTCCCAGAAAAAGAGAAATCGGTAGCGTTGGACGATGACATGAACATGGCCTATCGTTATTTTTATGCTCAACGGTACCACGTCTCTTGTTAAAAAAACATGTCTAAAAAATTCTCAATACAGTTTTTTTAGTGTTTTTTAATTTATTTTTCTCCACGAACTTTCTTCGTGTAATTTCAAATAGACTTTATTCGCACTCTTTTACATTTTCTTGCGTAATACCTCCATTCTCTGACATCCCTTTGGTGTAGACGTTGCGATATATTTAAACAGAAATAACATTGTGAATTTCTGTTTAACGCGTTAACTATGTGTTCAGTCGTAAGTCTGACACAGGAATCGGTTCTTTTATCCAGTGAACAATCTTCAACTACTTTACATATCCCTTTAGCCACCCCTCTTATGCCTGTGAGAGAGTGAGGGAGTCTCCATTTCCAGAATCTGTTTTAAAGGTATCCTAGTGGAGAAACAGGTTGGAAGAATGGAAAAAATGGGAGAATCATTTAAGATTTTCGTACTTTTCGGATTTTCAACCCCCTGCAAGCGCCGATAAGGGGCGCATAAAAGAGCATAAATGAGTTCCTCCATCGGTCGAGATTTTCGCGTCGTAAAATTTCGTTCCTAGATATGTAAAAAACACTGCGACACTTTTTTTCTTCGTCCGTTCGTTCATTCGTTCGCTCATTTGGTGTTCGTGTAATCGGCCGCATTATATGCGCCCTCGTTCCGAACAGTTGGCGGATAATTTCGAGCAGCCCGAGGGAAGTTTTGCCATTATCTCGGAACGAGATTTTTCGAGCGCAACTGTAGGGATTGTGATTAAATAGTTATGGGAAAGAATGGAATATACTTCTATGGAAACACAACAAGAGAGAAATAAAAAAAGTCAAATTCCGTCCAAATACAATTTTTTTCTATTCTCATACAAAGTAGATAATTTTGTAACAAATTAAATTTTTGTAAATTAAAATTTGACGACATCAAACGTTTCATGTTTCATAAACTTTCAGAATATTTTATGCCATTAAAATCTAATTTAAAAACCTTTTATTGCGGTATTTAATATAGTAATTGAAACAGGTATTCCTTGTCAGTAAAATTAATTAAGAATCTTATTGTCATAATATTTTAAAAGATTAAAAAAAGAATTTTGTCTGAAAAATTCTTAGTCTTTCTTTTAAGGAACATTGAAAAACTTTAGGTTTTCAAAATGATCATAAGAAAATATTTTCTAGTGCAAGCCGAGTCAAGAGATGCGGCAACAGTTGCCAGAGGGAACAATCAATAGTCGGAGACAACTGTGATGTGACGTGACGAATTCAGAGCAGTCAGTAAATTTTCTAGACAAATGGAGTAATGGAGTAAAGAACTGTCTCGTTCTCTTTCCTTTCTTATTAAATTCAGACATTTTATTATTAAGGAAAGAATTTTTTGACATATTTCGACTGGTGAAGGAGCTCATCAAATCGGTTCGATGCGAATGCCAATTTAAAAATAAAGTAAATATGAGAAATTGCTCGATGAAGACTTGAAGCTATGCTGCGTAACAACTTTCTTTATTCGCGGTCCGCAAAAGCTTTCGTTGTTAATGATATTTCGTTAATTAGAATCGGCAATATTAAAATCCCATTTAAACGCTAATTAAAAACCTTTTCAATATCTCCGATTAAGAGAGACTTTAGTAGACTGCATCGTCAGACGATAATTGCGCCGTAAATTTTTTTAAAATCACGGTCTTATTTTGCGTAACAAGATGCAGATGACAGTTCATATAATCACACACACATACACACACACACACACACACACACACAAATAATAATAAAAAATTGGTAGAGGCTGCATTATTCTTTCTCTGCAAAAGGATGAAATTAGAAAATAATGCGAAGAATTTCATGCTTTTTTGAATGAGGTATAAGATAGAAAAGCAATAAATGATATAACCGAACGAAAATAAATAAATGATAGATATGTACAGTGAGTGTAAAAAGTATTCTTACAAGGCAAAGTAAAAAGAAAGCCTTACCTAGAAAATAAATATTAATTAGTAATTTTACATAATAAATACGTTCTGTTCTAATATAAACGATAAAGTTTTACGTGTTCCTGATCTTAAAAGCTAAATTTCTAGATGTATGAATATATTTTGTGCGTCCAAATAATACAATTTTTCATTTTTGCTTATTTTTAAGATAATGTATTTTATTCAATTATTTATTACATCTTTTTAGGTAAAATAATTTTGAAAAATATATAATAGTTTATTTTATTCTTTATTGTTATGAATAAATTGCTAATTAATGTTTATTTTTTTTAAACAAGGTTTTTTTAAGGATATCTCTCCTGTACGAATATTTTTTGCGCATTCACTGTATTATATACACAATATTAGAAATTATATTGTCAAGATTGATTTACAGACAAATATTCAAGTCAATAAGTAGATTTAATAAGGAAGATTTCAGAATTTGACGATGTTTCGAGTCCTGCCTTCTCCATCGAAAAATTTTTGCACTGCAGTGATTTTTTAATACCCCATGTCTCGGGAGCATCGGATTCGCGTCGGCTACAAATCTCGACCGGGGGGAACACCAACAAAGCTTCGCGATTTTGCTGACAGTGTCTGTCGTCGACGATGGCACTTGATAGATGATAACAACCGGTTTGCCTCTCGCCTACCGGAAGCCATTCACGACGGCACAGCTGGATGTGAGGACGGTAAACAGCCGTGACGCACGCGGTTTTGGAACGCGAACATGAAAAAGCGGAGGGGAGCAAAAAAAAAGAAAATAATTAATGAGAGCGAAGCTATTGTCATGTATCGCCCTGCCTGATGATGGATCGCGATGGGGTTATCGGCGCGAGCTCTCATCGCCTGTCTGCTCGATGATGACCCGTTTATAAAGCGGATTTTCTGCATGCCAACATTGCCTGCTTGACGTTAAAAAGACTATCTACGGTTTATCAAAAATATTGTTTATTTAAAAATAAAGTTTATTTATTTTTATAAGTTACTAATTGATTGTACATTATTAACAATACGAATATATATTTTGTATAATTGCTATAAAAATATTATTAGTAACAATGTTAGCAAAATACAATTAAGGACAGATTTATGTCCGTATTCATAGTCAGACCTTATATTTAAGGTTTCCTTAAATTTATTTTTAGGTGCTCAGTAGTCAATAAAATGATTCGTAGAGCATTTGAACATAAATTTAAGGAAGCCTTAAATATAAGACCTGATTACGAATACAGGCATTAGATCCGAAATATTATTTATAATACGCAAAATACATTTGCATATACATAGGGGAAAGTTGCCGAATGCGTACTGGTCGTATCTCATCAATATTTTATATTATTAGTTAATATAGGCAATATTTAGTAACAATAATATAAAATATATGAGAAATGAGTAATATGGACAAAATATAATAGCCTACATCTTGTTTTATAGATGTTAGCGGCGTTTTAAAAAATCAGGTACATCTGATATTAATTTTTAATCAACTTATGTAGCTGATAACAATGCGCTCATCTAATTTTATTATAAATTTTTGTATTTTTATAAAAGAAGATTTATTGTAGAGTATTTTACATTTACTGTATATACATATTTGCAACTATTGTAAAGATTAAATCGATATTTTTACAAAATTCATCAAGTTTCCTAAATCTTACCATCAAAAGATAAGGCTGATAACTGACAATAATAAAACTAATAATTGGTATCAATATAAATATTAAGTGCAAAAATGTATATAAGCAAATTTTTGGTGTTATTTTTTTTGTTATTGTTATTTAATAATTATAAAATATTTGATTTTCTTCAATAAATTATTAAAATTAGGTATTAATTAATTATTAGGTATCAGTTAATTCTTTTATTAATCTTATATTTTTAACTGTTTTCATTCATAAATTCAATACTTTAAAAGGAAATACGGTAAAAAATACCTACAGGTACGATTTAAGCGATCGGTTGCCTAAATCGTACCTTTTGCAGCATGTTACAAAAAGATTTATAACAAATTAATTTGTTATTGGTGGAAAATTAAACATGTAATAATAAGCGTCCAAAACCTCAAGCTACAATTTCTAATGTTCATTTGCATACAAAACAGTGCCAAATGGAAAATAAAATAAAAAATAGGTTAAGTGGTACGCATTCAGCAACTTTCCTCTATATAGGGCATTTCACGTGAAAGGAGTCCACCTAAAAATAAACTGTTTGGAATCTTTAAAATAATTGTGGAAACGCCCTGGTAGAAATTTTATGCAGTATACGATTGGTTATTGGGAAATTGTATTGACTTTTATCTAGTAATTGAACAGCAAAACTGTTCAGAATACCAATCACGATGTAACGCTTTTCTCGCAGTTACTGCACAATAAAGAATTTCAAAATCTGAATACAATTACTAAGTAGTAAGAGAACAATAATACTAGAATGTACGATTTCTTATAGGTTATTTGTGTGTTTAGGCATTATGAAATGCTTAGATAATAGGAACAAGAAATATATAAGGCACATGGCGATATCAATTAAATTTCAATCAATCCTAAATCGCTGTACATTATAGTATACGGTTTCTAGTAGGTTGAAGTCTATTGTCTGTGTACAAAAATGTTTTTGTAGATTTTGGAAGTGTTGGCAGTAATCGATGCCTTAATATTTGTAATAACTTATCACTGTGCAGATGAGGTATTCTAGGTGATACTAACCATTTCCGTAGCTCCTTTATTTCATTAAAATCGTCTTTATTAGACTCTAAATTGAAGGTATAATTTTCATGCGGCTCTTCATTTATGTCATTCACATAATCTGAATTATTCTACACAAAATTAATATTATATTAACGTAAGTAAAATAAGCAAAGTATCTATACTAAAATTCTTCACTATTCACATATATTTCATTTCTGTAGAACTCATTCGTCATTTCTAATCTTTGATATTTACTGCTTCTAACCTCATTTTTTGTCATCTCTGTGATAGTCATACATGCTGTAAATTATTTAAATTTTTCCAGTTTTTTTTTCTTTGCTCTACATTTCCGTACGCGTTCACTACTTTCACACATATTTAACTATTAACAATTTTATATATAACATAAAAATATATTCAGTTAATTATATACGTATCGCAATAATATATGCGTATACATATGACATGAGCACTGCATAACTACAATATAATATGGTAGAAAATTGGACAATTACATTTTTAGTATTGATAACAAAATTTCTTGTACAGAATTGACCCAGATATTGCCTAGTAAAACTGCTTTAACTAATTTTGCCCAGTTGCTACGTAGTATTTTTGTACTATAAAGAGAAATCAGTAGTACTAAATAGTAACTAACTGGATGCTCAGTCAAACTGCATAAATTTCTACCAGGGATGTAAGTAGACATATTGTTATTTCGTCATACATACGTTTAGTGGAATAGTAAAGCATGTTTGTATTATTAAGTATGTTTGCATTATTTGTAAATTTTTCATGAACCGTACATACTCCCTTTTCCCCTATGAGTAACCATGTACTATTTAACTATTAACAATTTTATATATAACATAAAAATATATTCAGTTAATTATATACGTATCGCAATAATATATGCGTATACATATGACATGAGCACTGCATAACTACAATATAATATGGTAGAAAATTGGACAATTACATTTTTAGTATTGATAACAAAATTTCTTGTACAGAATTGACCCAGATATTGCCTAGTAAAACTGCTTTAACTAATTTTGCCCAGTTGCTACGTAGTATTTTTGTACTATAAAGAGAAATCAGTAGTACTAAATAGTAACTAACTGGATGCTCAGTCAAACTGCATAAATTTCTACCAGGGATGTAAGTAGACATATTGTTATTTCGTCATACATACGTTTAGTGGAATAGTAAAGCATGTTTGTATTATTAAGTATGTTTGCATTATTTGTAAATTTTTCATGAACCGTACATACTCCCTTTTCCCCTATGAGTAACCATGTACCCCACCCCTATGAGATATGCGGCAAAAATACAAGGTTTCAAAAAGTTTATTTTTTAATATGAAAAATAAATATTTCGGATTTCTAATATTTTTTTCATAATAGTAGACAGGACAAAGTTTTTACTGATATAGTTCGTTTACTATAAACATAGTAAATAATACACTTAATAAATTAAGTTGTTGATAGGTGCGGCGTATATACTGGAGTTACCCTATAACATTTACCACTAAGGTAAATCTCTTTAAAGAAATGAAATATTGCTACTCTTTTTCAAGAAGTGAAACATTTTCACTCTTTTTCAAAACTGACTGTATTTTCACTTTTTTTCAATTCGGATTTCTAATATTTTTTTCATAATAGTAGACAGGACAAAGTTTTTACTGATATAGTTCGTTTACTATAAACATAGTAAATAATACACTTAATAAATTAAGTTGTTGATAGGTGCGGCGTATATACTGGAGTTACCCTATAACATTTACCACTAAGGTAAATCTCTTTAAAGAAATGAAATATTGCTACTCTTTTTCAAGAAGTGAAACATTTTCACTCTTTTTCAAAACTGACTGTATTTTCACTTTTTTTCAAAATTGACTGTATTTTCACTTTTTTAGAGTAAGATTTCATTCCAAGAAGTTTGGAAGTAGATACTATCAGAGTCGTCACTAAGTTAGTCATATAGCCCCGTATTATGATTAGCCTACTAGCCCCATCCGTTCATTTTTTAAAAATATTAATATACGATAAAAAAGACAGATAAACAAAAAAAATCTGTTAGACTTTATTAAGTAAGAACTACGCTTACTATCTAAATGGAAATAAAATATCTCAGACAATTATATAGGATTGTAAAACAAAAACTTTAAGAATAAAAATGTTTACTTAGATGTATGATTTTTTTAAATTGTAGCGTAACTTCTATCATAGATGTGTTAGCAATGAGATGTTACAGCAGACTGAGCGGCAGTCGCTGCTGCGTGCTCAGACGGATTTACGCATGTCTCTCACGCGATTTGTTTGTAATGTAGCCTCGATTACTCTATTTACCCGGATAATTTACTGACCCCGGTCTCCCCTACTGTAATTTTTAAGCATCATAATTCAAAAAGTACTTAATGAAAAAACATTTTCTATAGTATTTTGGAAAGCTCTTGACATCGGTTATTAGACTATGGAATCAGAAGTAGGGTGTTCTATTTAAAAAAATTGATGTGACCTCGACCTGACCTTGGCGACGCCACCTAAGGTCAAACTGATAAGATCAGTAAATAAATCTTTTTGAACCGTACAACTTTTGTCTGAAATACTTTCCTGGAAAAATTATATTTTCCGAGACATTTAGGTGTCCCGACCTTTTTGGGACACGCTGTATGTAAAAATTTATTACGTAATGTTGAGTAATTAATTATATATTAATTGTATAAATTATTGTTATATATATTATGTAGTATTAAGTAATTAGATCAATTAATAAAGTGATGTTATCAAATTTTTGGTTGAAATTCAAATTTTACTTAGGAAAAAAAATTCATTTATTAGTGGATCCCATTGCTATCCCAAAATTTTCTTTGCGGCATCATATTTTACATATATTGGTGTATTTTTGAGAATTTTTTTAGATTTTTAAAAGTGGATATAAATTTTCATTTTTATTTATTTAAAGTTAAAAAATTGATTTTTTCCACACTATTCATTTTTTCTCATTAAAATTAACTTTTTTTTATCTGAAAGTACGGGAAAAATCCTAAAAAATTTATATGTATAAAAAGGAGGAGTCTCCATAAGGGCCGATTTCGGCACCCTCCAGATTTTGTTCAAACACACATAAAAATCTATTTCTTGAGGTCAATTATATTCAATTAAAATGATTTTAGCTTTAACGGAGCGATGGTTGCCATAGGAGTCTCCATAAGGCCGGTTTTCGGCTTAATTTCAATTTTAAATAATCGGAAACGTTTTATTATTGTAAGAATTATCGAAATCAAGTGATTTTAGCTTAAACGGACGTATTTGACACCTGTTATCTTGTAACTAGTCAGCTCTACATTTATCACCAACATTAGGAAAATTTCCAGATAATACGTAGGTATATCTATAAAATACGTCGAAAAAATTAAAATCATAAGAGTGTTGGTGGTAAATGTAGGGCTGACTAGTTACAAGATAATAGATGTCAAATATGTCCGTTTAAGCTAAAATCATCTGATTTCAATAATTCTTACAATAATAAAACGTTTCCGATTATTTAAAATGAAATTGAAATTAAGCCGAAAACCGGCCTATAGCAACATCATCGCTCCGTTTATAAGCTAAAATCACTTTAATTGAATATATAATAATTGACTTCAAGAAATAGATTTTTATGTGTGTTTGAACAAAATCTGAAGGGTGCCGAAATTAGCCCTTATGGAGACTCCTCCTTTTATGTATTTTATAATTTTAACTACAAATGACAAGAGGAGAACTCCTTATCTCCAATATCTTGGATGTAAGGCATATAATACTTATTTTTTTTATCTTCAACATTATACAATATGTCCACTTACATGTTTCCACAATTATTTTAAAGATTCTAAACAGTTTATTTTGGGTGGACTCTTTTCACATGGAATGCCCTATATATATCTATCAGATATAAATAATATTTGAGATATAGTCTCTTAAATATTGACAATATTTTAAAATTAAACTTAAAAAATTTAATAAATATTTTGAAACGTTAATTACTTATCGAATTTCAAAAAGATATAATCTTCCAATTGGAAAATTGTCAATTTTAGGTAGCAAAGATTTAATTAAAAATTTAAATTAGAGTTCTAATTAAATACATAAAAATTGACTTTTTCTTTTTTACTTAAACTCTCTTTCAATTTAATAGTTTTCAAGTTCTAATCAGTTCTAATTAAAATCTTAATTTTAATAATTTGGGAAAAATATCTTGAAAAATATCTCTCATAATTCTAACAATTAACAAGGAAAAGTACAAGAAAAAGTACACTCGTTCTTGGTGCTTTGATTTGTATAATTTTTCTTTTCTTTCGACGCGACGTGTCGTTAATTTTGAACAAGTATATGTTCGTACATGTCCACCGACTAGCTCGCATAATATACTATCTACACACTTTCTTTCTATTAGTTTTTTGTAAATCAGCCATTTAAAAATTTATCTTTTTAGATGTACTTTAACTTTTTAAAATAAAATTTCTTATTTTACATACATATATGTATATAGGGTGTATAAGGGTGCCTCTATATAATTTGCAAAATGTAGTTCGCAAATGCTGAAGCAGAATGACAATCATCGCATGCAATACACATACAGATGAAAACCAACTGGGGCGTTTTTTCGTTATGCAACCAAAAGCAACCGCGACTAAGGCTATCTTTGTCTTTTGATCTCTGAAAAAATGCCCCATGCAATGAGAAAATAAACACAGATCTTCATTTTGCGTTTGCGTTTGCGAATTACGTTTTGCAACTCTCGTACTTGTTTAACTTTCTGATTGACAAAATTATATCAGTTTATTTCTCTTTTTACTTAAAACGAACATGTAAGTTATTCAAATTTCAATTTGTTACAGAAAAAGAAAATTATATTTATAAACATTATTTTTTTTATTTTTGTTTAATTCCGTTATTTAGCCTTTTATTTATTATATCTATTATTTTAATGCCATTATGCTATACTGGTATATCAGTTTTAATGTTTGCTATTTGACAGAAAGAGGCACTTTGTTCAATATGGTCTGAAGAGAGTGCCTAGAATATTACCGGCGTTATCGCTCGCCATTTAAAAGAGGGGCATGCCGAAGTAATGAGTAGCG